AAAATTAAGGCTAAAACAATTATTCAATTTTTTTTTTTTTTTTTTTTTTCATCATTATCTCAGATGTGAATGATAATATACAAATACAGTAAGTTAGTTGCCTCTAATTTACTCATGAGTCTCTCTTAGACAAAAAGATAATCATTCTCAAATATATTGCAACAATTATTGATGTTCTACCAAGTATTACATTTATAACCAGTTTTTAACTTGAAAACAAATATTGCACATCGAATAACATGAAAAGCAGATATTGGATTCAATAGTAACTAACATAGAAGTAAACCCAAATAAAGTAGATATCATTCAGTGGACTAAATATTTTAGTAAAAAATGTCAGTAAATATAAAAGAAAATCTCTTGCAAGAGTTGTAAAAGGTTATGAAATTATTATAAATGCATTTCTGTTTAAAATAGTATGCTCATCTTGGTTGTTATACTCATAACTTGGTTTAAGAGAAATATCTAATGGATAAACTACTTTTAACCTTTAGCACTTTGCAATATTCATAAGAATTTCATCCAATGGGTATAAGTGGCCAGACAACTACAGTAGCATCATCTTTGATTTTCAGTTAGTCATTTTCCTGTTGCCATAGTGGGATATGACAACACTAGCACAAAATTCAACCAAACTATTGTTTGATGATCAGAGTTGCATGCAGTGGCTGTACAAACATTTTGTTTGACAAATGAAGTTACCTACATACAAAATGTTAAAGGTTAAATACCATCCTGATGTAGGGACTGCAAAGCCACTGATTTTTTTTCTTCTTGTGTATCTCTCATGTATGGTAGGGAGACCATTGTAAGTTTTTGATTTTTTTTTTTTTGTCCTTCTTCTTGTAGGATAGGTGTTTCATTGAATGTTGTTTATAATACAGATCATTTCTTTTTGTTATGTGTCTGAGACACTAGGCCTGATGTAGGTAGAAGATGATCCCTTTTTTGACACTGTATGGATGGTGAGAATTGAATTTTGGGTATTATCTGAATATTGGCTTACAATATACAAATATCTTGTACTCTGTGCAACTTATTACAACATCCATAAATGCCAGTTGATCTTCTTCTTCTTTTTCCACTTTGAGGTATAGCATAGAGATGAACACTACCTGGCAACTTCTGATTTAAAAAAAAAATGAAAAATTTCATTATCTGACTACAGACCTTAAGTTTAGGGCTCCACATGTACAACACTGGACTATCCAATAGACCATAGTGTAGTGAATTAAAGTGTTGGTCAAAGCATACCTTCTTTTCTGGCAGTAATATGTTCAATCTCTTGGTCAGGTAATGTAGAAAGATCATATACTGTAGTTTAATTGAAGAAATGAACATGTAATACAAAGGTGAATGGACTAGAGGGAATTAAATGATATGAGATGTGCCCTAAACATGGAATAGGTTCTTCAGGACCCCATCAGGCCAAGTATGAGAGACCAGAGGTACAATGGCCAAAACATAAGCACACTAAATTGAATAGAAAGACATATTTTTTATCAGTGTTACCCCAAGCAAGGCAGTACAGCCACTAATATGCAAGGGGCTACATGGTGTGGATGAATTAGAAACAGAAGCATTAGTAATGAGAAGAAAGAGCATTTAAGAAGACAGTAGAAAGCATGGAGTCAGAAGGGAGTTCCACAAGCAAGAAGTGTGAGAAAAGAAACAATTAGTGTACAAAGTACAGCTACATCTAGCTAGTTCAACTGTAAATTGATGCAGTCTCATCTCCAGTAGTGGTGGGCAAAGTGACTGAAGCTGAGCCTCCAGATCAGGACCAATAATATTCCTGATTCTTCTTTAGAACTTATCAAGGAGCTCCAGGGTCATCGGACCATATATCGCAGTAATATTCTAAGTATTGATGAATGGTAGACTTATAGATATGCAAGATAGATTCCAGAGAGAAGAATTGTCTCACCCGACACAGTGAACCAATTTTCTTAGCAGCTGACTTCGCAATGGATTCAATATAGTCTTTCCATTTCTGTGAATATTAGCTTGAGAAGGTGCAATGAATCACTTTCATGGAGGATAATGTCAGCCATGCTGATGAAAGGCAGAGAGGGGTCTCTCAGATAATTAATAGAGAGAATTTTAGATTTGGAGGCGTTAAAATTGACAAGCCATCTTTTGCCTCAGTTAACGATGGTCTTGAGTTTGTTTTGGACATCAGCTGCCATTTTGACCTTGTTGAACTGATCAGCCTTATTATCAGGGCAGGAGTAAATAGTAGTGTCATCAGCATAGGTGCCAAGTTGAGAGCTGATGTCATTGGGAAGGTCGTTAATGAAAATTAAAAACAGTGTAGGACCAAAGATGGCGCCCTGGCGGACACCTGCATTAGTACGAAAGGATGTAGATGAGTAGCCATTCAGGACAACTTTCATTTTATGATTTGACAGGAACGACTGAATCAGCTCAAAAATGTGCCTGGAGATACCGTAACTTTTCAGCTTGTGAAGACCTGAATGCCAGACCCTATCAAAGGTTTTCAAGATGTTCAAGCTACAGCCTGAGCTTTGCCATTTTTATCTAGAGCACAATAACCTCTTTCTGCAATTATCATTATTACATCAGAAGTTGACCTGGAGAAATGAAAACTGTATTGCTTGTCTGAGAAAGTGCCCTGTGATGAAAAATGATGAACCAGTTCAGTATTGATTAGGGCCTCTAGGAGTTTCCTAAAAAGTGGTAGAAGGGTAATAGGTCAATAGTTGGATGGGTCAGGCAGTTCATTAGAGTTCTTAAAAACTGGAACAGATGATGTCTTCCAGCAGGCAGGAATAGAAGGCAGGCAGTGAAGCATTTATTATACAGTTTAGAGAGAACAGGAGCCAGTTCGAGAGCACACTCCTTAATGACAGGGATACCATCAGGTCCACATTCTTTGTAGAGATAAAGATTAGAGATGATAGCAGAGACCATGAAAGGGTTTATATGCATATCTCAGCAGAGAATCAGTTCTAAGTGGGTGGTTAAGCAGGGATACTCCAGATGAGTAGAGTTGAGAATTTACAGGCAAAGCATTCAGCTTTATCAGCAGAGTATGTTAACACCTCAAATCGAGTGAAAAGGTGGGGCATTTATTTAGTACCCTATTACAGAGATGCCAGTAATCACAAGATCCAAAGTTTTTAGAGGCTATGCAGTGTCTCATTCTCTCAGCAAACATAGAGAAGATTGCAGTTTCAGTGCCTATTTCTGAGAATGGATGAAAATGTCCATGCTGGCTTTGACCCAAGAAGAAACTTCAGTGCCACAATTTTCAGTTGGGAGGTTGAAGATGTCAGTCCAATGGGCATCCTGAAGAAAATCCTGGAATGAGTCACAATCAGCATGCTGGTAACAGAAAGAGGTCTTATGGATAGGGTGTTTCTGTTTAATGGATGCTTGGAAGGAGGTATCAATGGTAGCAATGGAAGAATTCAAGTTGGTTTCACAAAGGGCAAAGATATCTGGTGACTGTTCCAGGAGAAAAGATTCTACTGCAGAAGTTGGAATGGATACCATAAATATTGAAAAAAGAAAGATTGAAGGGGTAGGTGGTTTTTTGTTAGCTGATTTAGTCTTGTATCTTTTTGTTGTGATTTCTATGAGATATGTTTTGAGGAGAAAGGAAACAGACCACCATAACTGTTACTGTCATCAATGGCAATATGGACCAACCAGTACATAGCTGAGAGCAGAGCATAATGTGGCCTCAGGGTTGCCCACTGGAAATACATGCAGGGTTTAATAATTAATTATTTATCTTAAAAATTTCAACATAAATTATGAAATTATTCTTTGAGATTGGCTAAACTTCTGTTATCTAGCACTGAAAACTAGCACCAGAAAACTATTAGTGAAAATATCACCTTACATGAGTAAAAATCAATAGTATCCTAAATGAAGCATAAAAATAAACTCATAATCAATTTATAATTGTGATGCATTGGAAATGAATTTTTTTAATTTCTGCTATTTTTCTAAAATTCACATTTATTATCTTGTTTCTTTATATATATATATATATATATATATATATATATACACACACACACACACTTGTTTCTTTCTGTAATACATATTTTAAGGCTAATTTTCTCAGATACAGTTAAATGAGATGCTATGTTTTGATTTCCTCAGTGCCTAGCTGCTAGCATTTAAGATTATTAAATTTTGATTCTGTCTGAATCTCATCATTATTATTTTTTTTTGATCTTTTAATTTGTGTACAAAGTCTTTATTTATTTCACCAATGTGTTTGATTAGCACAAAACCTACTTGAGCCATTTTCTTTTAAGCTGTTTAAGTGGTCTTTCAAGCATGTCTCGGTGATGTTTTCATGATTTTTCACTTCTACTCAAGCTAACTATGCAACCAGTCTTCATTCTTTCACTTGATATGCATTTGAAAAACAGTTTCCAGTTGCTAAACTTTTGTCCATCTCTTCCCACCCTGGAGAAAAGCAATTTAATCTTTGTAAAAAAAAATTATTTCAAAGATGCACTTATCTATTAAATCTAGGGACTTACTTTCTGTTTTTTTTCTGCCACCTGACTAAGCTTTCTAAGAGCATTAAGCCATTTGTTTCTTTTTAATGTTTCTATTCATTTAATTTCATGTGTGTGTATGTGTGTAATAAAAATTGTTATAAAAAATCACTTACGCTTTAGTACTACATTGTGGAGAAGATTTGTTGTTATGCAACCACATTCTAATAGGTTATATCAATGTTTATAATGATTTCTGTTTTATTTATCTTAATGTATTTCAGAACTAAAAATTTGATTTTTCCTGCCAGAAATTAGATTCATCTTGAGGATTCTTGTTATAATAAATTTTGACATATTTATGTTAGAAACATTTTGTACATACTTTAAAAATTCAAAGAACAAAAACTCTGTTTGCATTTTTTTCTCATGAAATACATACTTCATTGAAATTAAATTTATTATAAGTTCCTATCCACAAAATGTCATCTAATATTATGTTTTAATTTTTTGCAGAGGTGGATCTTGCTGCAAAATGTGTTGTAAATATGGATACCACGCAGACTGTGCTGTATCATCCAAAAGACAGGTGAATTATTTTATATTTTTAGTGTCATCACCTTTTTTTTTTTTTTTTTTCTTAGTAAATGATATAGATTCTAAATATGTCTTATCTGAAGAATTTCTAGGTAACATATTTCTAGTTCTTAAACTTCATCAGAAATATTTTAGGGTCAAAATACATCATAAATTATGGCAACTACAAAGTTGTAGAAGAAAAACTACAAAGGCACTGATTTAGAAAAGAAAACAATTATATGAATATTGATTGTTACAGAGTGCTCAGAATTTTTATGCAAATGCTTATTTCATAGTTTCAATTTATATTTTTTCTTTTTTTTTTTTTTTTTTATTATTAATCATTTCACCCTAAACATAGTAATAAAGTCACTAAAACATAACGGGTTGCTGAGTTTGAAAGAATGAGGAAAAAGAAAAAATATTAAGGAAAAAGGCCAATAAAAGAACAGAAATTCAGAAGACAGAAGATAACGATTGACATTGCATTTAAATTTATGAAGATCAAAGTTGACTGGAAAGCAAGAAGCCAGAAGAGAGTTCCACAAGTGAGAAGTGTGAGAGAAGAAAATATCAGTTTAGAACTTGCGGTTACATCTAGTAATTTCAATTGTAGAATAATGGGACCTAGCTGACAAACTAGTACTGTGCTTAATTTTTTTATAAAAGTTGAGATACCAAAGAGAAAAGATCATGAGAACAATTACCTTGAAAATATATATAGAAAAGGCCCAGGTAAGCTATATTACAGTAGTGGGAAATTGACTGAAGCTGAAATGTCAGGTCACGACCAATAACATTGCAGATTCTTTGACCTATATCAAGAATCTCTAAATACATAGCAGAAGCACCAGTTTTCTTACCAGCACATGTTTGTTGATATTTATTCAAACCAGGTAAGTCTGGCATACAGCCAAAATGATGGTGTATTCATGAGGAATGAACTCACAATGCTAATGAATGGTTCAAAAGATCTTTTCAATGATTAGTTGAGATTTTTAAAAATATATAGAATTTAGGAAAATCATTTCTTCTCTATTGAAACTAGTCAATTTCAGCAGTAAAAGGCAGTATTGTAAATTGGTCATTTTTATCTCTAATCAACTAACAGCCACAGGTGTTCCTCTCAGAAAAATCTGGAAAAAATTGTAGGTGCTCTTTGATCAAATTATTGATAAATCCCAAATATTAGATCTGTCTCTTTTAATGGCTTTTAAATCGGATCATCTTGAAAATTCATTGTATTTTTTTGCACTTTCAATGAATTTTTTGACATTTATATCTCCAAGAATATGACATGTACAGACTTGAAACTTGGTGACAATAGTTAATACTTACTGTAGATTACAAAAAGGATAAACAACTTAAGTCTGTCTTACGGAAATTTATTTTCATAAGGAACTGAAAATGACTGAAATGTCTAAATGCAAAAGATACTGTTTGCTTTGAGAGCTTCCCACTTGCAAAGTATGTCAGATATAGCATCCAAATTAATTTTCCTTTCATTTATGACTTAATAGATTATTTTTATGTCATAACCATATGCATTCCTGTTATAGGAATGTCACTTTACTGTTTGAAAATTGCTTGAGTCATTCTTTTTTCAACATCCATAATTGCCTATTTTTATGTTATCAGCAGATCAGTTAAGCAGTTTTAGAAAATTTTTATATTTTTTACCAGTTATTCTTGCATGTCTGAAGACCATATGACAGAAGGTTCGTTTTGCAGACAGACTTCTGTCAAGGGTTAAACATTTTTTGAGAACAGTTGTGCCAAAATCATGACCTCAATATATATGGGTTTTATTGAGCTGCAGTATTGTGTTATTGTGTATTGAATTTGACTTTGAAGTTACTTTGAGTCAGCTTTCATTAATGTTGACATTGCTGGTGATTCAGGATCAGTCTAGTGTATATGCTTGTGTTTTTGTTAACATATTTTGTTACTAAATAGAAAATCAATTACATAAACTTATTTGATAGCAGTTAACTTAATTATCAGCTTAATTGGAAAATAAAGATCAATAAAAAAAAAACCCCAAAACATTAAAATAACATCTCTTTATACAACACATACACACACATTTCTTCCTTCATTAGCATTTAATTAAATTGATTTAACAGTCTCTGTAGTCACCCAGTTTGATAGGTTTGTTCTAGAACTGCTACTGCTGCTGAACTGGTCTGGCTTGGTCCTGACTTAGAGCACCATTCAGTCATCAACTTTCATCATGGACTTCTTACTCATCTGTCTGCTTGTGTATTTATATATCTATTGTGTGAATTCTACTTCCATGTAATCACCTGATCTTTCATATTGCTTTCTTTTTATACGATTATAAACTATAAAAAAATCATACTGAGGGAGGGAATTTCTTTACTACGTTGTCAGGTTTTATTAGTCAATGTTTTCACAATAAAATTAGTATTAAGCAATTGATGCTGGTAACATTTTCAGGATATATGTATATTTATATGAGCAATATTAATTAGTTTCAGCTTATAATATCTAGCCTAATTAAAAATATTGTTAATTACTTGTTTTAGGAGTGTAAGTGTTGAGTTTTATTATGCAAACTAAATGCAGCATAAATTTGTATTGATAAATAAATAAAAAGGTGATATAAGCCATAGAAAGATTTGATTAACCCCATATTCTATGTACTTGAATAAATTATAATTTTATGTTAATATGGGCTCATTGATATTCTGTAACCTTTATTAGGTTTTCATTTGTTAATTTTAACTTTTTTACTGTTTCAACTAACATTATTTGCAGCAGTTTTTATTGTTTTCCAGAAGTATTTTACTTGAATATTGATTTTCAATCTCATGAGCATTTTTAATGATAAACCACAAGATTTTTTTATTGGATTAATATCTAGAAAGATTGGAGGGTATTTGATATTTGAAATAATTTTTTGCTAATGTGTGCAATAGTCAGCTGTTACAGAATGTGAAGGAGGTTTATGTTACCAGAATATACTCTTTAGCTTAAAAGTCTTTGATTAAACAGTACCAAAAAAAGGTTTTTTACAATAATTCTCTGCATTTATCTTTAAGCCATCATTTATCAATTTTGAAAGGGTATAGGATTTTGTTCCCACAAACATTACCCAACTTCCTCTGTCTCTTCAGTTATCTTGATTATTTCCATGAAGGACTTAAGATCCATCTGATATAGCTCTACATAAATATTTAAAAAATTGTGTTGCTATATTATTGTTCATATACTACTTAATACAACTTGCATATTTCCTGTTGAAATATTTATTTAAAGTTGGTAGTCTGGTTGATTTAAATTTTTTTTTTTTTAATATCTTTTTTTTCTCTGTTTACATGTAACAAATAAAGTTTTTTGAATATTCTTTTGCAAATTAATCAGTTCGCTTTTAATTTTTCTAAAATTATTGTTGGTAACTTTCTTAAAGCCAATTTTTCTTTTTCATATTTTTCCAGTGTTTTCATTCTTTGGTTGTGATCTCTATTTAATGAACCTTTTTTTTTTTTTTTTTTTTTTTTTTTTTACAATTTCCAATGTTGCATTCCCATGACATCGCTCAATGTCATGTTTTTCTTTTGAGGTTGTGTCTTTATTCCAAACTATGGGGATCTTTATATCTTTGAAATTAAAAAATATCAATAACTATACTATTTTAGTAAATATTTCTAATAAAAATGAATACTATAAACTGAAATTATCACAGGCACTGAAAACTTTAGCAATATCAGTTAAGGTTAATACCAATTATATTGTGAAAATATTAATGGAAGACAAAATTGTATGCATGAGAGTTTTGATTTAAAATGATAGATGATGTAAACTTCAGGATATGGATGTGAAACTTTAGCTTTTGAAATCAGTGATCCATGAAATTGTTCATGAGAAGTTTGTATAAGTTTGTGTATGTCCTGCTGCTAGAGAATGCCACCTAACACATGGCCAAACTGACAAAAGACCAATCTAGTTGGAATGTTTTCATCATCATCCTTTGACCTCTCTATGGTTGGTCAGAACTCCATTGCAAATCCTTTTCCACATTATTCAGTCCTGTACTGCTGTCCACAAATCCCTAATATGCAACTTTTAGTTCAGAGCTACGGTGTCTGGGAAAGACAATTTTGTGAGAAGACACTTCCAGAAGGATGCTATAGGAGTAAGGATGAGACAATTTTCTTGGGTTGTTTTACAGCATCCATCACTTAATCTAAAGGGGCCAAGTCAATTATCTTAATCAAATTGAAATAAAATAAATACTCTTGTTGAATCATGAAATTTAAAATGTTATATCATAATTCAAAGATAACTTTATTAAGCAAAGCAAGTACTATTAGCATTGTAACTATTGTCAGTGATCTAGCATTATAAAAGCTGGGATCATACTAATTGAATAGCATTTTTGACCTTGTACACCAATGTTAACATTGGTGTACATCTACTGGTGTGTGTGTGTGTGTGTATATATATATATAGTGTGTGTGTGTGCATTTCAGACTGAAGAAATAGTATTTAGCAGGGGATATATTCAATGAAAAGGGAGTGATGCAGAACCTCTCTGCCCAACTGTGTCAGTTTTTGCTGGGTGGTTTTTGAAGTATAAAATTTGCACTATCCTTCACCAGGATAAGATCCTTTCTGTTCACCAATGTGGGCCAAAATGTTTGCAGATTTTTATGCAGCAGTTTCAAATATGATCTGACCAGGTTGCAAGAGGCTCCATTACATTTCCAACAAACAGTCAGCAGGATCTTTTGTGGGTAATGATTTGGTTTTGGGAAGGTTAAGTGGAAAGCAAGTTTATCTACCTAAAGAAAGCCATATTTTTGATTAATACAGAAACCACTTTTTATCAACAATAAGTATACAACCAATAAAAGGATAAGTTTTTAAATAAACAAGAAAATTGCATCAAATTTCAAACAATACAAACTGCTCATGAATCAAATCATGTGGTAGTCACTTCTACATTTTCTTCACTTTGCTTAATTGTGTTAGAAAATTTCTGAC